CGGGAAGCCGAGGCAGCAGACAAAGGAGGGGATTTACGGAAACTGCTGGCCGACGTACCGAGTGATCTGGCAGCACTGTTGAAGCAATACAGCGACATTTTCCTGGACGATTTACCGACGGGATTGCCACTCAGCGACTGCACGACCACAGGATAGAGCTAGAATCAGGGGCACAACCAACAGTACAGCGCCAGTTCCGACTGACCCAGCCCGAACTAGACGAACTGAGGAAGCAGCTCGATTACCTGCTCGAGAAGGAGTTCATTCCCCCTAGTTCGTCGCCCTTCGCAGCACCGATACTGTTCACACCGAAAAAAGACGGGAGATTTCGCATGTGCATAGATTACAGAGCACTAAACAGGGTTACCATCAAATCCCGTTACCCCATCCCGCGAGCCGACAAACTGATCGACCAACTGCGCACAGCCCGGGTTTTTTTCCGAAAATCGACCTACGGGGAGGTTACCACCAGATTCGCGTCAACCCACCCGACTGCCCTAAGACAGCCTTCCGAACACGCTACGGATCCTTCGAATACACCGTCATGCCTTTCGGACTGACCAACGCCCCCGCCACTTTTCAAATGACCATGAACGAAGCTTTCCGCCCGCTCTTAGATAAGTGCGTCATAGTATACCTGGACGACATACTAATTTACAGCCCTGACAGAGCACAGCACTTACAGGACATCGAAGTAGTTTTTAAGATACTGAGTGAGAACCGTTTACTGACAAAAGCGTCTAAGTGTGAGTTTTTACAGGATTGCCTGGAGTTTTTAGGACACGTTATTTCAGCTGCGGGAGTGCAATTAGACCCGAAGAAAACTGCGACGTTTCAAGCATGGCACGCGCCGACCAACTTAACCGAGTTGCAGAGTTTTTTGGGGTTCGTCAACTACGTGCGCCGGTTCGTCCCCGACATGGCGAAGCTGACTGCCCCGCTGACAGACCTGCTGAGGAAGGGGGTTGAGTACACGTGGGGGGAGAAAGAGCAAGCTGCCTTCTCGGCCCTCAAAAATATTTTGTGCTCACCGCCCGTGCTTCACATCGCAGATCCACACCGTCCGTTCGAGCTCGTCACTGACGCAAGTGACATCACTGTGGGAGCAGTATTGTTGCAGGATTTTAGGAACGACCTCCAGCCAATCGCGTACGAGTCCCGCAAGCTGCACCCGCCCGAACGCAACTACCCGATACACGACCGTGAAATGTTGGCGATCGTGCACGCGTTCAAGGTTCGGCGGTGTTACCTGACTGGCGCCGACATGACAGTACGGACAGACCACCGATCACTATAGTACCTACGCGTCCAACCAAATCTCAACCCACGACGGATTCGCTGGTTGGACTACCACAAGTCCAACTTCCACTACACGGTTACGTACAAGAAAGGCGCATCCAACATCGCCGACGCACTCACCCGCCCTACCGCCCAACTCCATGCCATCCTACTCGCCCAAACCAACCCGCTTTTAACAGGCCTATTCACCCACGGATACCGCACCGACCCATTTTTCATGACCGGAAATTCACAGCAACTGGCAGAAGCTAAAGGAATTTATTTCGTATAAACAGGCACCAACCGCATCTGGGTACCCGCGTACTCACTACTGAGGGAGCTGCTACTGCAAGAGGCACACGACAGAATTACCTCGGGCCATTTTGGGGTAGAAAAAACGCGACAGCAACTGCAGCGGTATTACTACTGGCCGGATCTGTTGACCGACGTGCAGCAGCTGAGAAATTGAACGAGAATAGAAAAACGAAGGGAAAGTTGGGTACAAGTACAAACCCTAGAAAGCTGTACCCCATATGTGCTACCCCACTATAGCCTACAGCAGCTAAGTCATATAAATCTGACACACCCCCATGGGCAAAGTGGGGGAGGACAAGGGGTCACAAGACCAGTCAAGCAAAGCAAAGCAAGCTCAGGGTGGATCACAACGTCATCACACATTCCGAGCACAAGTTCAAGGCCACAAGGCCAGTTCACATGCCGGAATACATATATATATATAAGGCTAAATAAGCAAGAGCAGGTATATATATATGTAACAGTACAAACAAGGTCAAGGGGTGAGCAAGTGAGGCAAGGTAGGCACAAGACCGAGCTGATGATCACAAGGCGCAAGTGCCTTGGTGAAGATATCACCAGTGTTGGCCTCAGAGGCCACGTACGCAAGGCGCAGCTGACCACGCTGCTGTAGCTCATGAGCAAGGAAGTAGCAAAGAGCAATGTGCTTCGTTCTGTGCTCCAGTCTCTGCTCCCGACACAAGGCTAACATGGCCTTGTTGTCTACGTACAGCACTGGAGGAGAACGAGGCGGCTCTCCGAGGTCAGTCTGCACGTAGGTGAGCCAGCGAAGCTCCTGTGCAGCCATGGCCCCTGCGTAGATCTCAGCCTCACAACTGGAGCCGAGAACAGAAGACGAGCGGGTAGCCCGCCACGAAACAGAGCCGGAACCAAGGCTGAAGGTGTAACCCTGTGACGACCGCTGCATAGATTGGTCGTCTGCCCAAGAAGCGTTTGCGTGCCCAGTGAGGACCACTGGACTCCGCCCTCCAAACACAAGCCTCATGCCCGACATACTGCACAAGTAGCGCAACACCCTCTTTGCTGCAGCCATGTGCTCCGGTCTGTGTCTCCCAAGAGCAACATAACGTGCGAGAATGCTAAGAGGGTATGCAAGGTCAGGTCGTGTGCAGGTCATCAGGTACATGAGGCAGCCAACAAGCTCTGGGTACGGGCCACTCGACTCTACGGAATCATCCGAAGGCAGAGCTGAGAGCGAGTGGCGAGAAGGCAGAGGAGTGGCCTGAGGCGAGGAGTACGTGAAGCCGAAGCGCTGAAGGACCTGCTGCACCATGTGTGACTGAGTCAGGGTAATGGTGCGGCGTGCTCTGTCCCGGGTGATCTGCAAGCCAAGGTAGCTGCGCAGTTCACCAAGGTCTTTGCATGTGTGTCTCTTCTGCAGCTCGGACTTCACGTGGGCGATTCCAGCAGTGTCAACTGTGGCAAAGACCAAGTCGTCGACGTACACGAGGATGTAGAACGGCGGCAAAGAAGTGTCGGTGCGCAGAAACAGCGACGGGTCGGCAGTAGAGGGAGCAAACCCAAGAGCCGCAAGCGTAGTCCTCAGTGTGTCGTGCCACTCACGCGGTGTCTGGCGGAGACCGTAGACTGGCCGCCGGAGGCTCCACTGGGTGCCAAGAGGAAAATTTCCAGTGAAGCCAAGTGGGCGGCGCAGCCAGATCTCCTCGTGCAGGCTGCCCTGCAAGAAAGCAGTGCTGAAGTCAAGAGTGTGTAGCTCGTAGTCACGGTGAGCAGCTATGTGCAGCAGTACCTGAAGAGTGGTCATCTTCGAGGTGGGAGAGAAGGTCTGAAAGTAGTCAACTCCCTGCCGCTGACTGAAGCCACGAGCCACGTAACGCGCCTTGAAGACAGGCAGAGAACCCGGCGGCCGCTTCACCATGAGAATCCACATGCCACTGACGATGTTCGCCCCAGGCGGGGGAACCTCGTCAACGTAGGTGCCTGTGGACTTCCAGGAAGCCATCTGTGCGTCCATAGCTGCCTGCCACTGAGAGGAGTAGGGACCCTCTATCGCCTCCGCGTAAGAGCGCGGAGTCGGGATGTCAAGTGCATCCGGGTCTCCCTCAGGGGTAAGCAGTACGGACACGAGATGAGGTGAAGCAGCAGCCAAACACTGGAACTCCTCCTCCCTGTCCTCAAGGACGTCCGTGCCAAGGGCACACTCACCCCCGACGGACGGAGGACAGACAGACTCAGACGCAGCAACAAGACTAGCAGCGTAGTCTAGACGATAGCGAGCAGCAAATTCGACGAGCTCAGCAACTAGGGCAGACGCAGCAGTGGACTCAAAGGAAGGGTTAGTGACAACAGTAGCAAGGAGACGCGTGACAGTCGGACTGGCAGCACGAAGGGAGTCCGAATCTGGGTCAGGAAGAGCAGGAAGAGAGGACTCAGGAGGAGAAGGCAAAGGGGCACGCAGTGGAGCAGTGGACGGACGGAGAGACATTCGGTGCGTGCCGGGCACAGGGGGAGGACGCGGACGCGAACCACGACCACTAGCGCGAGCAGCACGGACAGGCGACGCAGGACGAGACGCAGGCTCACGACGCTCAGCAAGACCTCCAGTAGGACCAGTGTAGGGAGAAGGAGCAAGCAGTGGGAAGGCCGGCTGTAACTGTAACTGTGACGGGACAGGCTGTGGACACTCTAAGGGAGGAGGAGGACCAGTAGAAGGCAGGAGACCAAGAACCTGCTCAAGGAGCGGAACAAAGTACGGCCGAGGCCGCGCAGCGACTCCAGACACAGCAGGGACAGCTCCAGCACCCCCAGCGGTAGCACCAGCGCCAGCAGCACCTCCAGCTCCAGTACCCCCAGCAGCTCGAGTAACTCCAGGACCTCCAGCAGCACCTGTAGTACCCCCAGTAGGACCGCCTCCAGTACCGCCAGCGCCAACACCCTCAGCAGCTCCAGCTCCAGTCGGACCACGAGAAGACGCAGTGGCTCCAGCTCTAGTAGTACCCGCAGGCCCAGCAGCTCCAGTACTCCCAGTACGGACACCTCTGGGACCCGTGGCACCAGCACCCTCAGTAGCCGAAGAACCTCCAGCTCCAGAAGCATGCCTCCAGCGCCGGGCAAACCACTCACGCACCTCATGTGGAGAGAGTGGCTCCCGTCGAGACGGAGCACCCGGAGAACCTCCACGCCCAGCACCGCCAAGCTCAGCACCCTGAGGCTCCGCACCCCCAGGCTCAGCACCTCCAGGCGTTGCACCCCCACGCTCAGCACCCCCAGTCATAGCACCCCCAGGCTCAGCACCCCCAGACTCAGCACCCCCAGGCTCAGCACCCCCAGTCGTAGCACCCTCAGGCTCAGCACCCCCAGGCTCAGTACCCCCAGGCGTAGCACCCACACGCTCAGCACCCCCAGAGTCAGCAGCCCCAGGCTCAGCACCCTGAGCAGCACCAGAGTCACCAGCGACCTCCACAGGCTCGACTGCGTCTACATGGGACACACCTGAAGGGGCAGGACCTTGAGGGGGGAAGGGGGTCTACCGGGGGGGGACCTGGCACAAGGAAGAGCGGTGGCGGGGGGAGGGACGGAGTGCGGTAGGGGAAGAGACGGTAGTAGGGGACCGACTCGTTTAACGTGACGTCCTGGAAGGACAGAACACGGCGAGAGGTGGGGTGGTAGAACTGCCACCCTGGTGCGTCAGGGGGGAAGCCAAGGAAGACGCAGGGAGCAGCACGAGGGGACAGCTTGTCCGCAGACAAGTCGCGGACAAACGCCCGAGATCCCCAGACATGGAACGCAGACGCATCGCCAACCTTCCCCGTCCATAGCAAAGCTGGGGAGGTCTCCGGCATGGTGACCCTGGGCTGAAGGTTGATCTGATGCGCCGCGTACCGAACCGCAAACGGCCACAGAAAATGGGGGGCAGCCGCATGCATCATGGACGTACGGGCGACGTCCATGACCATGCCAATGCGGCGCTCAGCAATCCCATTTTGCTGTGGAGGGTCCGGAAGCGTGAAGGCCTGGCGGATGCCTCGTGCATGACAGTAGGCTCGCAGAAGGCCAGAGGAGAACTCTCCGCCTCTGTCAGAGTGCAGACGCAGAACAGGAAAGTCCGAGCCGAGGCTCTTCCTGAGTTGGAGACGAGCTGCGCGGATCCAGTCGATCAACACCTCAGTGACATCATCCTTGCTGCGCAAGGGGAAGACTGTGGTGTAACGCGAGTAGTCGTCAACCACCAGCAGGAAGTAGCGCTCGTGACCCTGTCCACGAACGCGGGCTGGGCCCCACACGTCCATGTGAAGCGTTTGCAGCGGAGCCTCTGTCGGAGGAAACTCGGAGGAGTGAGGGGCAGCATGCTGCCGCCCCTCGACACAGGGGACACAGATAGGGGCAGGCCCCGGAGGAAGGGGAGGGAGGGACCGGGGAAGACCAGAGACAAGGACACGGGAGGCCATGCCTCAGAGACGAGGCAGGGAGGGGTGACCAAGGCGGTTGTGCCAGAGGAGAGTCTCGTGAGACAGGAGGCGACACGAGCAGGGGGCAGACTCAGGACCAGACCTGGACGCTGCAGCAAACACCTGCTTCGACGCAGCTGCCTGACCAGACGCAGTGACTGGAGGAGACTCAGTGGTCAGTGTGTACGTGCTCGACCCCGGCCGACGTGTAAACGTGGCCAAGTGTCGGCCCGTCCGAGCGTTCGTGCAGTGGGTCACCCGCTGGCTCGTAGGAGTGAACTGGTGAACCCCCGCATCCTGTAGGTCAGAACCACTCACCAAGTTTGTAGAGAACGAGGGGAGGTAAAGACCAGACAGGTTGCCAGAGGGGGCCGCCGGACACGGGAGGACAGTGGAGAAGTGAGCAAGGACAGGACCCCCAGAGGGGTCTGCCAGATAGACTGCAACTGGCCGACCAAGCGGCGTGAGTGTGGTGCGGTCTCGAAAGAAGGAGCGAGAAGCCCCCAAGTCAAGGGTGAAGGTGTGGGAGGCTTAAGCCGACGCAGTACCTGAGAGAGCAGAATCACCAGCAAATGAGGAAGCAGACGCAGTGGCACGTAGAGCAGCAGCCTCGCTAGCACCTAGAGCAGCAGCCTCACTAGTACCTAGAGCAGCAGTCCCAATGCCCGGGTCGGGCGGAAAACACCGGTAACAGTCACCCTCATCACTAATAGTCACAGCATACATGGCAGCAAGAATAGCATCAAAGTCAAGGTCAAAGAAAGCTACTCCCGCCCTAGACAGCTCGCCCCAGCGAGGGATCTCAGTGGCCTCAGGAAACTGGTGACGCCAAGCGTCCGTCAGGCGGCCAAAGCAGCGCTGGGTGGAGTGCGCACCCCCGCACGGCTCACCTGCGCGGTCGCCGGTGCGTAGGACGTAGGTGCACGGACCAGTACCCCCACCCCGCTGGCGTGCAGCGTACCACTCACGAAGCTGCTGAGGGGGGGGGATCTCACGAGTACGCTGCTGCTGCTGGCGCTGACCACCACCGGAGCCGACCCTCTGCACAGCGCCACCCCGACCAGCTCCACCTCCTCCGCCGCCGCCTCCTCCACCGCCGCCTCCTCCACTGCCGCCACCTCCACCGCCGCCACCTCCGCCACCTCCGCTCCCACCGCCACCGCCGCCGCCGCCGCCGCCTCCGCCTCCACTGCCGCCACCGACGCCCCCACCCCCGCCACCACCCCCACCGCCACCCCCACCCCCTCCGCCGCCTCCACCGCCGCCTCCACCGCCCCCGCTAGCTCCTCCAGCGCCCCTGCCCCCCTTGCCCTTGCCAGTGCGGCGTCTCCCGCTATGGGCAGACGCTGCACCGACCGACTCAAGACCAACGAGGTCGGCCGTAGCAGCAGAGGCAACAGAGGGCAAGAGAGGAGAGGGGGAGCACCCCTCAAAGACAGGGGCACGAGGGTCACCACGAGAGGCTCCTACAGCGACTATGCTCTTCTCTGCTGCTAGGAGGCGCTCCTCGAGGAGGTCAACAGTGAGGGTGGTGGGGCAATCAGAGAGGAAGTGGTCCCTGACCGGGCGAAGGGTGTTAGGGAGCCGGGTGACTATGTAGTAGAGGGTGATGTACTTAGGAGGGGGGGGTCTTGGCGCAAAACTCAGCGGGAAGGGCAGCGCGGGTAGCGAGTGTCACTAGTGCGAAGGTGCGTAATGAGGTCAGCGACTGTGGGAAAAGCAGCTAGGTCAGGGAAGAAGTACGGCAAGGTGAGGCGGCTAAGTGCAGCAGTGGCATGGGAAGAGTAGCGTGCAACTACAGCGTCGTACAAGGTCCTAGCACTCTTGTACTGGCTAAAGTGTGCACGCTCAGAGGTAGGCAAGTGGCGACGCACAGCAAGACGTGCAGCAGCATCGCGTGTGGCCCACTGTGAGCGAACAGTGGCGTCAGCATTAGCAGCAGGGGCAGGAGAGGCACCAGAAGTGAGGTGAACAAATCGGTGGGCCCTAGGAACAGTTTCCACAGGGGAACCTGCTCTATACCATGAGAAATTGAACGAGAATGGAAAAACTAAGGGAAAGTTGGGTACAAGTACAAACCCTAGAAAGCTGTACCCCATATGTGCTACCCCACTATAGCCTACAGCAGCTGAGTCATATAAATCTGACAGCAGCATGTGGGCTCGTGCCCCACGTGTCAAGTGATGAAGAGCTCGAGGAAGCGGAAGGCGGGTCAATTGCAGCCGATACCACCGCCCGAGCGCGCCTGGCAGCAGGTTACCATGGACTTCGTCACAGGGTTACCTTCGAACCCTGGGGGTAACGACGCGGTGATGGTCGTCGTTGACAAGTTGATGAAGATGGCACACTTCGCTGCGTGCAAAAAGTCGATCTCGGCCGAGGAGACAGCTCGCCTGTTTATCGTAGCCGTTGTTCGCCTGCACCGGATACCAGCAACGTTTATCAGCGACAGGGACACGAAGTTCACCGGCAACTTCTGAAGGAACCTCTGGGAGCAGTTCGGGACCAGGCTACAGTTCAGTTCGTCGTACCACCCCGAGACCGACGGTCAAACGGAGCGGACGAATTAGACGATGGAGCAGTTGATTCGTGCCACGTGCCACGACCCCACGACTTGGGAGCAGCAGTTGCCGCTGATCGAGTTCGCGTACAACAACGCCACGTCAGCGACGACGCATCAGTCCCCCTTCTACCTGAACTACAGGCAAAATCCTACAGTGCCCATGATGCCGAGTCCGGACAACCCAACACCACGTGCACAGCAATTCGCCGAAATTCTGCAAGCTGCCCGCACCAGAGCCGCAGAAGCAATTAAAAAAGCTAACGCCATCGCTAAGCGCAACGCTGACCGCCACCGCCGCCCAGTCACATACCAGCCAGGGGATTACGTACTGCTCGACACGCAAAATCTGCAATTGCCCGACGTACCGAAACTTCGACCTCGCTAATGTGGTCCATTCCAAATCAGCCACATGATCACGCCGGTAACCGCGCACCTACTGTTACCAACCGACTGGTACATCAGCCCATCGTTCCACGTCAGCCTACTTTGCCCATACATCCCAACCACCAGCCAACTGCCTCGCCAGCGCCCGTATTCCATGACTCGCCCTGCATCGGAGCCGATCATCGAGCCCGAAAAAATCCAGAGCCATCGGATTCGCCACCCCACGGGAATCAGGAGGATTGAATTCCTCGTTCGCTGGAAAGACCGCACGCCAACTGAAGATAGCTGGGTGCCCCTAGCCAACATTGAAAACCACCCTGCCCTGCAAGTGTACCTGAGGAGCCCGGGATTCCGCGATATACGCGCACTCGCGTAGCGGAGGGGGCTTCTTGAGGGGGGGGGGGGGGGGGTAGTGTAAGGAATTTTCTCGGCATTCCTTACGGAGCCCGACTACATCGCGTATAGCAACAGCCGTTGTTCGCCCGTTACTGCTAACGGGACTTCGCCAACTTCGCGCGCGCTGTTTTGCCAAACCTCGCACTGCTGGCCCGGCCGTGTCGGCCTACGCTTCGGGACTAGCCCGAACCTCGCTGCCAGCGTAGCACTAGCTAGCTCGCACGCACCGCGTTACCGTTTGCATGTTCACATATAAATGTTTGCTCATGCCTTCGCTGTCTTTGTACTCATTTTTGACACCTTAGTGCAATTCTCGCTACTTAGATTCATTGCACCCGTAACAAGTTCTTTAGACATCGTTGTTATCAAAATCGCAGCTCTTCCTCGAGGCCCCTTCTAGAATGCTTGGAGGGAGGGATGCTGTGTCAGTGGAGCTCCAGAGGCTCCAGAATCCGCTTCGGCCTGGGCGGCTCGTACAAAGCCGAGGCTGTTGCACTTTCCGTACCTCCAGGTAGGCTTCGGCCAGATCTGGCCTGGGCCAGTGGCCTGAAACAATAGGTTTCCCTGTCGCTTGTTCCGAAGCCAAATGTGTGCGTGGGTTGTGGTGAACCAAGGTTTTGTGGTACGGGTTGCCCCAAAAGAATTGTTCGCGAACGTGTGTCCGATTAGGTTCGGAAGGTTGCTTGCTTTGCCCCAACCTCGTCGACGGATAACCAGCCACAAACATTCCACCCACCAGGCAGCCACCACCACCAGCCGTACACCCATTTATTCGTTCGATGCACCCGCGATTGTGCTACCTGGTCGGTACGTTCACATAGAAGTTGGGAGCGATGCGTTTATGTCACATAGAATCGATTCACACGCGTGATCAGTTCAGCATTGAATTGCTAAACGTTGAAAATAAATTGGTGGCAGAGCACTACAGTTGCACGCATTTGCGCTAAAGACGAGGCCAAATTTATTAGTTATGATTAGGTCAGGCCGGCCTACAGATGCAAAGACGTATTTATAGCCACATTTCGGGAGCAAGGGACGGCAATACGCAGGGAAATGTGACTCGCAGACGTTAAAAGCACCGGGCAAAATAGACAAGCACCTCCGACTGAAACGCGTTTGGTGAGATAAACGAAGAATTGGGTGTAGCCCCAAGTCAGCACTTGACCTACCAAGAGGTATGTCAGACCAAACGTCACGTTTTCTCCCCGCCCCGCCTGCACAGAAGCCCGAAAATCGTTAGATGGGGACGGGTAGCCGGTAGCGTTGCAGGTGCACGGGCACAAGCCACGGAGATTGGCGGTTCATCATCTCCATCCCACCCTTCTCGATCTTGTGACTTCGATTTTGACGATCAAAACCTTTACCGCATATGAAAGCAGGAAATCGTCCTTCACCTTAGTTAACCTCCCTTTTTCAACTCACGTGACTCTCTCACGTACCACCCACAGACGTACAGTAAGGACGCGGCACCTGTTTTCATTTTGCCAGGATCGATCGTGGGAGGGGATCGATGTGCCGCTTGTACAGTGTATTGGCGACATCGCTAATGTCTGGTATCCTTTTTTCGCTGAACTTCGAGAAGGTACAGTAAACGGGTACCCAAATTGGTGGCACCTGCAGCTCGCACGATCGATGTGCCGTGGTGCATGCGTTAGGATTGGCGGGAGAGCATATCGCGCCACAGGTGACAGCCTCGATCGATCGGCGTCGCCCACGGTCGCAGGCAAAAAATTCTTGAGTCGCTGCGAATGGAATTGCTGGACGACCATCCACGCTCTGCCCTGATTGGCTACGCGTTTAAGTGCAATGGCAGCTCCAGCCTGCCCGAGCCTGCAATTTCGATCCTGGCACCTATAGCTCGATGTGTCTACCCCACTGCAAATTTGCAGTGTGGGCACATTGGTGTGCCGATCGATATGCCAGGATCGATGTGAGGCCGCGATCCTTGTAAAATGAAAACAGGTGCCGCGTCTTAAGTACATCAACCCCTCCCAACCAAGCCAAAGGCATAGCAGTCTCTGCGGTTGTGTTGGCGTTGATTTGGGGACGGCCAGCTCGGAGGGTGAACTCGCACGATGCTCAGCTGTGCAGTGCAGAGTAGTGCCCTAGTATCGCCATAGTTGATGACTTGGAAAGGTCATGGCACTCTAGTCCGTCGCGGTCAACTTTTCACAGAATTTGGTTAGACTGCAAGCAAAGCTTTACCACTGGAGTTGTTGTTTGATCAGGATATTTGGATCAGGAGCATACAGAAAGCAGTACAGAAAGCAGTAGCAGTAGCAGTAGCAGCAGCACATGGCAGCAGCGTCGAACTCAGTAGGATGCTGACCCCTGCTGGTTACAGGTTTAGTCCCGGCCTGCCTTGCTTAAGCTCGTCTCACAAGCGGCCAAGACCAAGAGCTGTCAAATGGAATCACCTACAAGCTTGTTCCCTTCTTCTATCCTTAGCAATCATAGCCGTCCATCCCGCCAGAATTCCAGGAACGTCATCGGGCTTACTCACTTCTCAGTCGCATTCGGAGCGGATTTTAGCTAATACTGGGACGAGTCTGCCTTCTCAAGCAGGCAAGTGGCAGCGTGTGCTTGATGCTTAGTTATGGAATCGTTTATTTACGCTGGAAGTCCGTAAGTTCTTCGAATTCATGCGGTCGGTGAAGACCAAATCTACTCCATTGCTCTTCCTCGTTCGCATACTGAAGCTGAAGCGGTCTACTGAGGATAGAAACGTGCCGCAGTTTATTACTGTTACTTTCGTTTAGGGTTGCTTAGGTAGAAGCTCGTGCGGAGCTGTATCAAAGCGGAATTTCGTGAGTTTAGGGTTGCCACTCACTTCGTTAATCTACTGCAACCGCTCGCCAGTTGCTGTCTCCAGGGTGGTGTTTTACAGACATTAGGGTTCGGCTTGCTGCAGGTCGCGTTGTTCTGGCAGTGTTAGATAGGTGCTACTGCCGCCTAATCGGGACCGCTGCTTAGCTGTCGTGTAGATTCCTGCTGTTTGGTCAGGCTGCTAGTAATCACTTGTTCTGGAGCGGAGTTTTTTTACTCGACTAAAAGAATCGCTGCTTTGCCAGGCCGCTGGTAGTCACTTGTTCCGGAGCGAAGTATGGCTACGGCCCGGCTCTGTAGGAGTACTGAGGAGAGTTTAGCGTGTTCTACCGCACTAAGAGGGGCTTGTGGTGACGACAATGTCGCAGTGGAGAAGCTGTTACGGCGAATACACTGTAGTCCGCGAAGTCTGCGGAGTTTGCGAAGTTGGCGACGGGTGTGCAATGGTTCTGCTCAGAGTCGGCATTGTTTAGCTTCGAACAAGGCAGTGCTATTTGGTTTACTGAGACTCTTGTCGACCGTGTATATGGCAGTTTCTTGCGACCATACAAGCGTTCTGAGGCGCCTCAAGCTCGAGAAACGACCGTGTACCGGATTAGGGTTACGATGTCTCGCAGTTGCTTGCGACCATACCCCCACTTTCGAGGCAATTCAAGAAGCGAGGGTGTCTGCGTATTGAATTAGGGTTTCGATGTACAGCAGTTGTTTGGGACCATACAACCATTTTCCAGGCGCCTCAAGAAGCGAGGGTGTCCGTATACCGAATTAGGGTTTCGATGTCCAGCAGGTGCTTGCGACCATTTAGCTATAGCCTGACCATGTACCCGTTTTAAGGTTTCGATGCTTCGCAGTTGCGAGTGGTGGACGGTTAGGCGAGCATTGGCTGCTAGGCGAAAATTGGGCGGCCAGTGGTCAGCTAGGCGAACAGTGGACGGCTTAGCGAAAACCTGGCAGCTAGACGAGCATCGGACGGTCTGGCGAGTTACCGAAGGCCCTGAGCCACAATGAGGCAAAACGATTGTGAGCTTGTGCGAGCGTGTAGCATACCCGTAACCCATGTATGGGGTGGATTACAGTACAGTAAAGTACAGTACAGTACAGTACAGTACAGAACAGCGCATGTTACAGTGCACTGGTCTTATTGACGCGTGCTACTACGCCCTTGTGTTCCCGCGTCCCTCTCGTTCTGCAGGCTTCGTTAGTATCAACTGCGGATACACGGGTCCCCCGTTTGTGGACAAACTCACTGGAATAAGGTGGCAGCCGGATCAATACTACAGCACAGGAGTACCCGGCACTGCCCCCCCTCCCAAGGGCAAGCAATGGGGGCCGTATGACGCGGACGCGACCATGCGAGTCTTTACAGAGTACCCCGTTAACTGTTATAACATCCCGGTGGCCAAGCCTGGGAGGTATTTGCTGCGGCTGGTGATGTACTATGGGAACTATGACAAGGCCAAGAGCCCGCCCGCGTTCAACGTCTCCTTTGGGATCTCGTTCGCGTGAGTGTGTGATGGTGCTGCTGTGCTCTTTGTTTGCCGAGATTTTGATTCTGCTCTGGCTTTGCTTCACGCCGTGAATTGCGGTGCGTCGTTGCCTGGCCCCACCCCACCCTCTGCTCATTCATGCGGTACATGCTTCGACTGGTTTAAGATGGTTGGAACTGGCTGGACTGCTATGTGCTGTGTGTGTGCTATGTGCTGTGTTCAGGGCGACGGTGGTGCTGACTCTGAAGGAGAGGGTGGTCTCAGAGATCATTGGTCAAGTGGACTCAACAGAGCTCGAGGTATGTGGACGGAAGGAATGAGTTAGGAGGAAATAGGGCTCGTGGCGGTTGAAGGTAACAGAAGGTACCAGTGGGTAGCAGACGGTAACAGAAGCTAACAGCAGGTAACAGAAGGCATTAGCGGTGGTACTAGCTTTGTGGAATATTTTTTGGCTTCAACCAAAAGTAGGCGTGAGGGAAGTTTTCGTTTCGAGGCAAACCGGTTTTGGTTTCTGCTCGAACCGAACCGGTCCTGTGGTTGACTCAAGAGCATCCTTGGTGGGGCACTCAGCCACCGTTCTTTCCTTTCGGAATACCCCCTCCCCCACCCACCTCCATCCCATCCCAACCCCCCCACCCCACACCCCCGTCGTCTCTATCCCCCCCCCCCCCCCCCCCCCCCCCCCCCCCCCCCGCCTCCTTCCCTGCAGGTGTGCTTCGTGAGCATCTATGGCAAGCCTCTGGTGAACGCGCTGGAGCTGAGGCCGCTGCCCGCAGCGACTCCCTCAGTCACCTCTCTATTCTTTCTGACCTTCCCTCCCCCCTCTCCCCAGGTGTGCTTCGTGAGCATCTACGGCAAGCCACTGGTGAGCGCGCTGGAGCTGAGGCCATTATCAGCAAGGAGACTGAGTCAACTGTACTTCCCCCACCCGCCCCCCCCCTCCCCTCTCCCTCTCCCCCCCCCGCTCCCCCACTCCCCAGGTGTGCTTCGTGAGCATCTACGGCAAGCCGCTGGTGAACGCGTTGGAGCTGAGGGCCCCCCCCAACGTCTCCCTCAGTCACGTCCCTTACCTTTCTGACCTTCCCTCCCCCCTCTCCCCAGGTGTGCTTCGTGAGCATCTACGGCAAGCCGCTGGTGAACGCGCTGGAGGCTGAGGCCGCTGCCCCCGGCGTCATACGTGTCGTCTGCCCGACCCCCTCCGGAGTCATGCTGCTCTGGTGGCGCCTCTTCAGTGCCAACGACTCGCTCACCAACCGCATGCTGCGGTGAGTGAAGCCATTCTGTGCGGTGCTGTGTGGTGTGGTGCGGTGCGGTGCGGTGCTGTGCTGTGCTGTGCTGTGCTGTGCGCATTAACTTATCTGGTGGCGCATCTTCTGCGCCAACGACTCGCGCACCAACCGCATGCTGCGGTGAGTTAAGAAGCTGGCATTTACTACCACATCTGCTGTGCTGTGCTGTGCGGTGCGGTGCTGTGTGGTGCTGTGCTGTGCTGTGCTGTGCTGTGCTGTGCTGTGCTGTGCTGTGCGGTGCTGTGCGGTGCTGTGCTGTGCGGTGCTGTGCTGTGCTGCCTTCTCTCCCTAGTGCATGTATGGTCGCTTAAGCCATGTGCCTCCTCTATGTTGCTCTTATCCTCATAATGCCTATATACACCTTTCCACCCCTCAATCGCTCCACCCCTTTGTCCCTTCATCCCTCCATCTCTTTCCACCCCTGCTGCTACCCCTACGACCCCTTGGAATGCATTTGGGATGCAGACGGTGTGATGGCCACCAGTGGGGGCGCCGCCTCATGTTTGACTGCCACCTCTCACCTATCCACCCCTCTCCTCCCTTCTTCACCCCTGCAGCTACCCCTACGACCCCTTGGATCGCATCTGGGATGCAGACGGTGTGATGGCAACAAGTGGGGGCGCTGCCTCGTCCACCCTCATACTCTCTCACCTCTCCACCCCTCTCCACCCCTCTCCATCCCTCTCCACCCTCTCCACCCTCCCAGCTACCCGTACGACCCCTTGGATCGCATCTGGGATGCAGACGGTGTGATGGCCACCAGTGGGAGCGCGGCCTCGTCCACCCTCATGTTTGACTACTCTTTCTCACCTCTCCACCCCTCTCCACCCCTCTCCCCCCTTGTCCACCCCTGCAGCTACCCCTACGACCCATTGGATCGCATCCGGGATGCAGATGGCGTGATGACCACCAGTGGGGGCGCTCCCTCCTCCACCCTCATGTTTGACTACTCTCTCACCCCTCCACCCGTCTCCACCCCTCTCCGCCTCTCTCCACCCCTTTCCACCCTTCCAGGTACGCCTACGACCCATTGGATCGCATCTAAGATGCAGACGGAGTGATGGCCACCAGTGGGGGCGCTGCCTCGTCCACCCTCATGTTCGACTACTCTCTTACCTCTCCACCCGTCTCCACCCCTCTCCACATCTCTCCACCCCTCCAGCTACCCCTACGACCCCTTAGATCGCATCTGGGATGCAGACGGTGTGATGGCCACCAGTGGGGGCGCTGCCTCGTCCACCCTCATGTTCGACTATTCTCTCGACTCCTACGTTTTTGGCACACCGATTAACGTTAAGCCGGCTATAGGGGCTAGAGCCGCGGCTGCAGCTACTTCTGCTGCGATTGGCACTGGGGATTCGGGCCGAACAGTGGTGGGGGAGAGTGCGTCAGTAGAAGCAGAGGAATCGGCGCAAGCGGCGGCAACAGCAGCAGCAGCAGCAGCAGCAGCAGCAGCAGCAGCAGCAGCAGGGACAGCAGGAGCAGCAGTGGTAGGCCAAGGGACAGCAGAAGCGCTAGCACCGGGAGAAGCAAGTTCAGCAGTGGTTGCAGCAGCATCAGAGCAAGCAATCACAGGGAACGGCACAACCAACGCTGCCCCTGCCTTTCTACAGCTCACAGCGCGCACAGTGCCACAGGCCCCCGGTGGCACCATGGACAGCAGCAGTGGCCTGGAATACCAGTTTCAATTCCTCGAGAGCCCTGCGAATTTCCAGCTGATTCTGTACTTTACGAACGTGGAGGGGCGGTGAAGCGGGCGGGGGACATGGTGTTTGATATTGTGTTGAACGAGCAGGTGGTGGTTGGCAGATTTGATTTGTTTTTGCAGCTGCAAGGGGCGGGCAGGGCGGCACGGGTTGGGCCGAGTGGCGTGGGGGGAAGTGGTGTGAGTGGAAGTGGCGTTGGGGGAAGTGGTGTGAGTGGAAGTGGCGTGGTGGGAAGTGGTGCGAGTGGAAGTGGCGTGGTGGGAAGTGGTGCTGTTGAGGGTGGTGGCGATGTCACTGCTCATGCAGCTGCGATAGGCCTTGCTGCTGCTCCTGCCACTCCCCTTCCTTCTGCTGCTGCTGCAGCTCCGTCCACCCTTCCTAACCCTTCCGCCACAGCTCCTGCACCCGCTCCTCCTCCTTCTTCTGGGAGCAGCAGCAGTGTCAGCAGCAGCACTGATAGCAGCCTGTACGCGCAGCAGGTGGTGATGGTGGTGGTGAATTTTACGAGTGTGGATCTCTACATCCCCGCCATCCTGCTGCTCAGGCCCGTCGCTACCAGCCGCCTGCCGCCAGCCATCAGCGGCATCGAGATGTACGAGGTGTTCCCCGCTGCCAAGCCAACGCCCGCTGATGAAGGTGAGTCACGAGTCGACTTAGTGAGTGTATTCTTGAGTTGGCAGTTCACATTCGAGCTGACTCGCAACATGGCAATCAGTGGTGCTGCAGGGTGTTTTGAGAATTCTCAAAAACATTCGAGCTGGCTCACAATATGGCAATCAGTGGTATGGAGATGTACGAGGTGTTCCCGATTCTCCCTCCGTCTCCTTCCCAATGCCTGCCTTGCGTGATTTCCGGTTATTGGGCAACGTGAGTCTCTGGCAGTGTGTTGTGGCAGATAGGGGGGCAGACCCCTGTAACTATATCAAGTGACCCACACGGCCTTTCTTCTCGGTTCCGTCATGCTCATCCCCTCCTATCTTCCATTCTTCCACCAATTGCCCTCCCTCTCCACTCCCCTGCTACCCTCCCCCCGTCTGCCTTCTCAGTCTCCGCCCTGCGCGAATTCCAAAGGCTGCTGGGGGCGCCAGCGTCTTTGGCCGGGTGGCAGGGGTCGGACCCCTGCAACCCCATCAAGTGGGCGGGCATTCAGTGCACTCAGGCGCAGGGGGACAGCGAGTCACACGTCAGCGGCATGTGAGTGGGGGGGCGGGGAGGTGGGATTGGAGGAGGAAAAGGGGGAAGGATGGGAGAGAGAAAGGGATGGGAGCGCCAATGTCTCTGGCAGGGTGGCAGGGGTCGGACCCCTGCAACCCCATCAAGTGGGCGGGCATTCAGTGCATCCAGGCACAGGGGGGACAGGGCATTGCACGTCAGCGGCATGTGAGTGGGGGGGAGGGGAATAAGTTTTTGCAAAGGCAAATACAGTCTCCACGGCCCCATCTCCGCATTCCTTCCTCTCTCTGCTTTCTGCACCCACAGTCTCTCCTCTCCGTTCCCCCCCCGTTCCCCCCCACCAGCTACCTGGGCAACTACAGTCTCCACGGCCCCATCTCGCCAGCTCTGGCTAACGTCTCTCGCCTCCAACACCTGTGAGTGACCCACGCTTGCTTCTCAGGCAGGCTTGCCTCTCCCAGTCTCTCTCGCCCTTCTCGGTCCCTTCGTTCTTGGACTCGAGTGTCATCCTTCAACACCCACTTGCTTGTCTCTGCTACTTGTGCTGGTTGGTTCTGTCTGCTCCCCTCCGTCTTCCCCCCCCTTATCTCTTTTGTTTTGGCGGTGTTGCATAAAACTCCCCTCATCCTCCTCCTCCTCCCCAAGCTGGCTCAATAAGAACGAGCTCGTGAACAAGATTCCTACCTTGAAGTGCCCGACTGTTTCCCCCCCTATCTCCCCTTTGTCACTTGACTGGCGCGGTTTTCCCCCATGGCTCTCCAGCTGGGTGAATCACAACAACTTGGAGAACGAGATTCCCAGCTCCCTCGGCGATCTCGTGAGCGACTTTTTGAATTTTCTCAAACCCTCCACCCCCCACCCCCACCACCCCCCCCCCTCCTCCCCCCTTATACTCCCACCAGCTGGGTGAACGACAACAACCTGGAGAATGAGATTCCCAGCTCTCTTGGCGACCTGGGGGATCTCTCAACTCTGTGAGTGTTCTGTTCTGATTTTTGAGGCTCCTCAAAAGGACTCTGTGCGTGTTGTGTTCTGTACTGTTCTGCCAGTCATGTTGGAGTTGCTTCTGAGAATTCTCACAAGCGGGTCCCAGCTCCCTTAGTCTACGAGTGTTCTGTTCTGCCAGTTTATATTTTCTTGCACTCCCCTCGCTCCCCTCGTTCCGATGCTCCCTCACTCCCTCTCACCGTCACTCCCTCAGTCCGTTGCTCGCCTTTTCCCCCACTTCCTTGCTCCCTGATTCTCTTGCACCCTCACTCTGCCGCTGCCCCAATCCCTCGCTCCCTCTCTCTCCATTTCCAGCCACAGTTCGTCCCGTCCCCCTGCCAAAATCATCTCGTCCCGCTCTTTTTCCTCACTCCCCTTCTCCTGCCCCTCGTTTAGTCTCCCTCTCTCGGACTCCTTCAACCTTCCTTCGCAGTCTGCGCCTTTGGTGCTTCGCGCAAACGTTAGGTTGTTTCTTTGCTAAAACCTTGTATGAAAGGTCTCGAAAGTTTTGCTAGGCGTGGAAGTAGACCTGGAAAGTAAGAGCTGCAGAGCAGAGCAACCAACTTGAGTGGTTGGTTGGTTCCTTAGTCGCTTTTCGAGGCACCTCAAAGACTGTCCCTTGGTCTCTGTCTTCGAGGCGCCTCAAAATTCGTCTTTAAGGTGCTTAAAAAATCGTATCGAGGCGCCTAAAAAAATGGTTCCTTAGGCGCTTTTCGAGGCACCTCAAAGATCGTCCTTGGTCTCTGTCGTTGTGGCGCCTAAAAAATCGTCTTCGAGGCGCCTAAAAAATCGTCTTTGAGGCGCCTAAAAGATCGGTTCCTTAGTCGCTTTCTTGAGGCACCTCAAAGATTCTTCCTTGGTCTCTATCCAGCCTTATTCCCCTCTCTCCTTCGCCCGTTCCCCACAACCCCTTTTCTTTCCACCATTGCCTCTCATCTCCTTCTTCTCTCTCTTTCCCCCGCGGCGTGCAGTCTATTGCAGAACAACCATTTAACAGGGGGGTTCCTCAGTCGCTCACCAACCTCACCAATCTGGTCCAGCTGTGAGTCGTTCCCACTTCTTTCTGCTGCTGCCCAGTCGCTCACCAATCTCACCAATCTATTCCAGCTGTGAGGTAACTGCTGTTTTCAGAGCAGACCCCGCACTGGCACCACCACGACGACGACCACCACACCACCACCAGGCACGTTGTGTTTGCAGTCATTTGCACTGCACTCGTCCTTCTCTTGCTTTCTCTGCAGCGTGTCAGTCACCCACTCCACTCCCCATCCGGGCTCCCCTCTGTGTTTCCTTCTCTCCTGGATGCACACTGCAGCAACGTGGCAAACAACAGCCTCACGGGAGTGTTTCCGTTCAACTTGACCACCCAGTTCATCCAAGTCGTGTAAGTGCCAAAGGGGACACCGGGGGCGCAGGGGCACAAGGGGGAGGACACAGGGGGAACAGGGGCGCAGGGGCACAAGGGGGAGGACACAGGGGGAACAGGGGGCGCAGGGGCACAAGGGGGAGGACACAGGGGAACAGGGGGCGCAGGGGCACAAGGGGGAGGACACAGGGGGAACAGGGGGCGCAGGGGCACAAGGGGGAGGACACAGGGGGAACAGGGGGCGCAGGGGCACAAGGGGGAGGGCACAGGGGGAACAGGGGGCGCAGGGGCACAAGGGGGAGGGACACAGGGGGAAACAGGGGCGCAGGGGCACAAGGGGGAGGACACAGGGGAACAGGGGGCGCAGGGGCACAAGGGGGAGGACACAGGGGGAACAGGGGGCGCAGGGGCACAAGGGGGAGGACACAGGGGGAACAGGGGGCGCAGGGGCACAAGGGGGAGGGCACAGGGGGAACAGGGGGCGCAGGGGCACAAGGGGGAGGGACACAGGGGAAACAGGGGGCGCAGGGGGCACAAGGGGGAGGACACAGGGGGAACAGGGGGCGCAGGGGCACAAGGGGGAGGACCACAGGGGGAACAGGGGGCGCAGGGGCACAAGGGGGAGGGCACAGTGGGAAACATGGGGCGCAGGGGCACAAGGGGGAGGACACAGGGGAAACAGGGGGCGCAGGGGCACAAGGGGGAGGACACAGGGGGAACAGGGGGCGCAGGGGCACAAGGGGGAGGACACAGGGGGAACAGGGGGCGCAGGGGCACAAGGGGGAGGACACAGGGGGAACAGGGGGCGCAGGGGCACAAGGGGGAGGACACAGGGGGGAACAGGGGGCGCAGGGGCACAAGGGGGAGGACACAGGGGGAACAGGGGGCGCAGGGGCACAAGGGGGAGGGCACAGGGGGAACAGGGGGCGCAGGGGCACAAGGGGGAGGACACAGGGGAAACAGGGGGCGCAGGGGCACAAGGGGGAGGACACAGGGGGAACAGGGGGCGCAGGGCACAAGGGGGAGGACACAGGGGGAACAGGGGGCGCAGGGGCACAAGGGGGCACCGGGCAGCACAGGGGGCACAGAGGGGGTACATTCCCCCTGTCCCGGGGCGCAGCCGCCAAATCCCTCTCTTTTCCTTGCTCCCCTCCTTGTCCCTCCTTTTTATTTCCCTTATTTCGCCCATCTCTCCTCCCGCCCGTCCCCTTTCTCTCTCTTCCCCCAGTGCCACCGGGCAACGACCTCTGCTCCCCCCAGGGCCTTACGATCCTCCCCAACTGCCGAGCCCACTTGCCCTGATTCTTTCTTTTTCCCCTTACCCGCTCCTATCTTCCTCCCTGTTCCCCTCCTCACCCAGTGCACGGGCAACGATCTCTGCTCCCACCAGGGCCTCTACGATCTCCCCAAACTGCAGATGCACGTGCCATTTGCCACTCTCGTGCAGATTGTTAAGCTCTTTTCTTCCGCTTCTCTCCTTCCCCCCGCTTCCCCTTCCCCCCGTGCCACGGGCAACGACCTCTGCTCCCCGCAGGGCCTCTACGATCTCCCCAACTGCGGAGCCCTGCCCCCTCCGCCCCCCCCTCCGTCTCTCCCCCCGCCCCCCCGCCCGCACCTTCCCCATCTCCCCGCACCCCCTTCCGAGCCGTCCGTTCCCCCCTCTCCCACGGCTGACTCGAGTGCTACTGGGAGAAACGTGCTGGTAGGATCTGTGGTGGGATCTCTAGTAGTTGCTGCTATTGCTTCGGCGCTGGTGGTGTGGATGTATTTTAGAGGGGCCAGGAAGGACAGGGAGAAGGGGGAGAGGGGGGAGAAGGAGGAGGGAGAGAAGCGGGGTGAAGTGGCAGCAGCAGGAGGGGGAGGCGGAGGAGAGGGCGGGGATGGGGACGACGAGGATCGGGGAAAAGAAGTGATGGTTATGGTGGGGGGAGTGAAGAGGAGAGGGTGAGAGCAGAAGGCAGGCTGTTGGTGTGTCACGGAGCAGATCAAGGGAAGACAGAGGGAGTGAGAGAGGGGGTGAGAGTGGGAGGGACGGGGAGCGGTCGAGAGGGAGAGGAGAAGGAGGGGAATTCAGTGATAGGGAGAGAGATTCCATGCCTCTTTCGGACCTAACTCCAGCTCTACCGAGCCTCTGTGCCCAATGGGAATGTATCCGAGCGTAAGAGTGATCCCAATGTGGAAGGTTCTGCTCCTGCCATCACTGCTACACATGCAGCCACAGGTGCCGCAGTAGCAGCAGCTACAGCAGCAGCAGCGGAGGTGGCGCACAACGGACAAAAAGCGCCGCCCAACGGGCTGGCGGTGGAGCGGCGCCGTTCACTGTGCCGTCCACGCACGTACAGCGGATGAGTCTGGCAGAGCTGGAGGAGGCGACGGGGGGTTCTGTGAGGAGCAGATGATCGGTGCTGGGGGGTTCGGGCCGGTGTATCGTGGCGTGCTGGCGAATGGACGGGTTGTGGCTGTCAAACGGCGAGCGGTGGATTCCATGCAGGGGTCGACAGAGTTCAATAATGAGGTGAGTGAGTGAGAGAGAGTGAGCCTTATGGGGTTTTTTCTCTTGAGGGGTTTCTGAGTCTAGCAGAGCTGGAGGAGGCGACGGGGGGTTCTGTGAAGAGCAGATGATTTGGAGGCAGTTTGCGGCCGCGGGGGTCTGGCGAATGGGCGGGTGGTGGCGGTGAAGCGACGGGCAGTGGATTCCATGCAGGGATCGACAGAGTTCAATAACGAGGTGAGTGAGAGGCTCATAGCTAGGAGCTACAGAGAGAGGTTCTGAGCAGCAGCTGAAAGGAGCGGGTGGTTTCGGGCCACTGGTCCATTTATATGGTGCTCTGGGCCTCTGTCAGTGGCCCTCTGATCCATTCAAATTTGAGCTGCTCTTTGGGAGCCACGTTCTGAAGTTTCTGAAAAAGTGACTCGCTCGCATATCCCAACTGCTTACCCCCTTTCCGCCCCTTCCTTCCGCTTCCTTTTTCTCACCAGCTCAAGTTTCTGTCCAAGATCCGGCACCCCCACCTGGTGGCGCTGATAGCCTTCTGTGAGGAGCAGGGGCAGCAGCTGCTGGTGTATGAGTTCATGGCGCAGGGCAACCTGCGCGAGCACTTATACAGTGAGTGGGGATGGTAAAAGATGGAAGGTGATGCTGTAGAGGGTACAAATTTGAGCAGCTGCTGGTGTATGAGTTCATGGCGCAGGGCAACTTGCGAGAGCACTTATATGGTAAGTGGGGATGATGTTATAGAGGGAACAGATTGCAGCAGCTGCTGGTTTATGAGTTCATGGCGCAGGGCAACTTGCGAGAACACTTATATGGTGAGTGGTTCTTCAGCAGTAACAGTTGTGGCTAGAATCATGGCTCAGAATCATGGCTCATCAGAATCATGGCTCAGAATCATGGCTCAGAATCATGGCTCAGAATCATGGCTCAGAATCATGGCTCAGAATCATGGCTCAGAATCAAGTGTGCACATCCTTCTTGAATTTTCGTGGCTATGTGTTTCTCTGTTGCTTGCTATACCGCAGTCTTCATTCATCCCTTTCCCACTGCCCCTACGGCCCCATCTCATCAACCCCTTTCCCTGCTCCGTTCCAATGCGGTGCAGACCGGTTGGGAGCGCCAAGGGGGCGTCTGCGGTGGCTGCAGCGCCTCTCCATTGCTGTTGGTGCTGCCAAAGGTAGGGAGAGGACGAGCTGGGGTAGGGTGAGGGCGAGGTGGGGAAGGGGGAAGTGGGAAAGTGGGAGGAGCTGAGGTCAAGGGGAAGGTTGGTGCTGCCCAAGGTATCAAGTCAACGAGGGAGGGCAAGCTCTCGAGCATGCCACTGCTCCCACCACAACGGTTGCGCCTTTCACTCCCCTCCTGCCTTACGCTGTTTTTTTGTGCTCTTACCCATTCGGTTCCGTTGTTTCTCCCCTCCTCTGGCTCCCTCCTTCGCATGTTCGCCCTCTCTCCCAGGCATAAAGTACCTGCACGTGGCCCTCCGCCCCTCCATCATCCATCGGGACATCAAGACCACAACATTCTGCCCGACGACAGCCCCTTACTCCCCTATTCCCCATTCTCCCTCCCCCCCTCCTCCTTTCCCCCCTCCTCCCTTCCCTTCCGCATCCCAGGCATAGAGTACCTGCATGTGGCTCTCCGTCCATCCATCATCCATCGGGACATCAAGACCACCAACATTCTCCTCGACGACAGCCTCTGCGCCAAGGTCGCAGACTTTGGGCTGTCTCGCCTGGGGCCGCAGGACAACACGCACGTTTCCACCAATGTGAAGGGCACTGCCGGTTACCTGGACCCAGAGTGAGTATTGGTATAACAAGGGGATCGGGGGGTTCTGGTGAGTGGAGGGGCTGACTTTGGTGGGCTGTCCCACCTGGGCCCGCAGGATAACACACATGTCTCCACTAATGTCAAGGGCACAGCCGGTTACCTAGACCCAGAGTGAGTGGCTGTGTGGGGGGTGCTTAGGCAAGGACTGGAGTGGGTAGAAGGACGGACTTTGGGCTGTCCCGCCTGGGGCCGCAGGACAACACGCACGTGTGCAGCAATGTGAAGGGCAGTGCAGTGCAGGGTACCTCGACCCAGAGTGAGTCTGCTGATCAGGCGCGTGGAGGGGTTGCCTGTTATTGCGGCAAGCAAGGTCGCAGACTTTGGGCTGTCCCGCCTGGGCCCCAGGCCAGGACAACACGCACGTGTCCACCAACGTCAAGGGCACGGCTGGTTACCCTCCTCCCTCCGGCCCCCCCACCAGGTACTACAGGTGCAGCAGCTGACGGATCGCAGTGATGTGTTCAGCTTTGGAGTGGTTCTGCTGGAGCTGGTCAGCGGGCGGACAGGGGACAGGGAGGCAGGAAGACTGGGAAACGCCTCACTCAAGTCATTCTCTACTCCCGTTCGCCCCCTTCTCCTTCCCCTCCTCTTGCAATCCACACACCAGGTACTACACGGTGCAGCAGCTGACAGACAGGAGTGACGTGTTCAGCTTTGGAGGTGGTCACGTGAGGTGCTGCTGGAGCTGGTCAGCGGGAGAGTGACTACCCATCGACTGTTGGGAACTGGTCGATTGGAGTACGGGAGGCAGAACAGGGATGGGGATCTTGCTGCAGAGAACGCAGCTCACTCCTCACCCTCCCTCTCACCCCTCCCTCTCCTCACAGGTACTACACGGTGCAGCAACTGACGGATCGCAGTGATGTGTTCAGCTTTGGAGTGGTGCTGCTGGAGCTGGTCAGCGGGCGGCAACCCATCGACCTCAGCCGCCCCCGCGTCGACTGGAACATCATTGACTGGGTGCGTGCGTTGACTAGTGTTGACTGCTCTTGACTGCACTGGATTGTGTACAGTGGATTGCAGTTGGCTGCTTGGACTTGTCTCGTTTGGCTGACTGTGTTCCGAATCTGCCCTCTATTCTTCCTCACCTCCACTTGCCTGCCTCACTCTTGATTGCTTTTGAGGCCCCTCGGAACTAAATCTTCCCCTCTATTCTTTCTCACCTTCACTTGCCTGCCTCCCCTGCGATTGCTTTTCTCCCAACCTTTCCTTCCCCATTCCTCCCCTCACTCACCATCTCCACTCAAGCTCCCTTCTACCTCCCCTCTGCCGTGACATCACAGGCACACAAGCATCTGCAGCAGGGGGACATAGAGGCAATAGTCGACCCCACACTGACCCCGTCAGAAGTGGAAGGTGGCCAAAGTGGGCATTCTCTGTGTTGAGCCCCCATCATCCTCCCTCTCACTTCCTCCTCTGCGTGTTCCCCTATCCCTCTCTGCTGCTGTGACACCCCAGGCGAGGAAGCACCTGCAGCAGGGGGACATAGAGGCAATAGTCGACCCCCACGCTCCCCCCTTCGGAATTCTCATAGACGCCATGGGAGGTGGCCGAGGTGGGGATCCTCTGTGTCGAGCCCATGGGTATCAACCGACCGAGTATCAGTGAGGTGGTGGGGGAACTTGGAGAGGCTGTTGCTATGGAGTTATCGAATACTCCTGTAAGGAATCATTTTCACCAGCAGCAGCACCAGCGGCAGCACCAGCAGCACCAGGGGCAGGAGGGGAGGGGCAACAGGAGTACGATTCTGAGATAGGGGTGGATTATGGGGATGAGAGGGGGGGAGGGAGAGGTGGAGGTGGGGAGGAAGGAGGAAGGGGTGGAGAGCGGTTGGGCGGTCAACGAGGGTACTACAATTCCACGTTGACGTTTTCTCGCTCGGGATCCAACGGTGGAGATTCGTCGAGAGGGGTGGATGGCGGAGACTTCCGGATGGTGACAGGGGAGGGAACACGAGGCTCGGGGACACCCCTGAGCAGAGGTTTGGGAGAGGGGAGAATCCGAATAGAGTGGTCCCGGCTGAGCTGGCGCTGGCGATGAGCTGGCAAGGAGGAGGGGAGGCGTCAGGGGGACGAGGGGGGATGGGGATGGGAGTGGGGAAGTGTGGGCGGAGATGGGAGGTGTGAGTGAGAGAGTGAGTGAGAGAGTGAGTGGGGGAGTGAGTAAGGGAGTGAGTGAGAGGGAGAGTGGGAGATTGGGCTGGGGAGGTTCAGGAGAAGGGTTGGCAGGAATCGGTGGGGCGAGTGGAGTGGGAGCAGTGTGGGGAGGCCCGCGATGGAGGAGGGCGGGGAGGCGGTCGGAGGGGGGGAGGAGGAGGGGGAGGAGGAGGGAGAAGAAGAGGGGATGGAGGAGGAGGAGAGGGAGGGAGTGCGATGGGGTTCAGAGGTCCCGGGAGTGGAGGAGAGATGTACATAAGGAGAGGGGGGGTCGTCAGAAGAGATCTAATTCCCACGGTGGGGTGCAAGGCGGAGGGGTGCAAAGGGGTGGAATGCAAGGGGACGCGGTGCAAGGGGGTGGCCGCTTATGGCGGTTTCAGATTCGTTGATGAGGAGAAAAAGAGAAGGAGCATCCTATAAATGGCCGATCTCCCGGCTAACTTGCCTTGGGTAGTGGAAGAAGAGAGAGGGAGAGGGGGCAGTGAGAGGAGAGAGGGGATAAGGGGGATAGGGCAAGGAGGGTTCTCGGGAGAAAGTGTGGAAGCAGATATGATGATGGCACAGGCGCCACACGGGGATTATATGATGCTGAGGAAGGTGCAGCAAAGGGTCATGTCGCCGCCCGTTCCACAGGAGAAGCGGCATTTTTCTGCTGAGGACAAGCCGCGGTTCGCCTCGCCTTTCGGGCAGCCTGGGTTTCAGCCGCGGGCAGGCGGCCGAGATTTCGAGTCTGCCGAGAGCCTGCGGGGGGGCATGGTGTGCGGTGGGGAATTCGGAAGGAAAGAGGCGGATGAGTGACGGGGAAGGTGTGGATTTGAGTACAGGCAGAGAGGATGTGCGTATGGTGTGGGAGATGTTTCTATGAGAGATGACTTGAGGCCAGATTATGAGATGTCTAGGTCTCACGATGAGCCACTGCATGATTCTGGATTCGAGGTGTCTCGACCGCACGATTCGGATTCGCGCGATCTCGGCCGCACAATCTGGTTACCGCCACCGCATCGTCACTCTCCGCAGTGGAGTTGACTGAAATGTCTTCTGACTCATGGCGGGAAACCCCTTCCTGCCGTTCTTACTGCCTAGCCAGGGCAGGAGCAGTTGATTGGTCGGCTTGATGAGAGGGCAGTGGGGGTTGAACAGACCGAGCAGCGAAAATGGCTGTTCTTGCTCAATCAGCACCGTCACAGTAGGCTGAATATGTATTTATATTGTTCGTTTCTGTTGCGATGCGAATGTACACTTCTTAAAGCGCCTGGGTGCTTACAGAGTAGTGAGAATAAGAAGTTAGTGGGCTCCTGTTGTTTCATGTGGAAGGCCAACCTGGGTGGGTGTGAAATGCCATCCTAACCATGTAATCATTCAGGGTATACCCTGAACATTAGTTGGTAAGCTGAATCGCATTTAGTGGAGTGCTTGAGTAATTCACATGCATGGAGAAAGAATAAATAACCCGCGAGCGTATTGAGTCTGCAGAAATGAGGTGTTTTGACAAGATAGTACTTGTAGAATTATACAGTTGTTTTTGGCACACTCGCCGCAAGTTATCTCTCATTACAAAAATCACCGTCGTGTTCGTCGTCCTCCTTATCTGGACTGGACTACCAGCATTCTCTAGGTTGGATGGTCCCACCAAACATCTAGTCAGTTGCCAGACTTCAATTAAGAACGTTCGAGCTGGTACGCAGCGGTTGAAAGCGGTCAAAAGAAAAAAAAACCATTCTACAGCGCACAACATCGTTCTCCAACGCGTTGACTGAATGTTACGTGGCAATTGAGTGAAACGAACGAGAATTGCCACTATCGAAGCAAGAGTACAATGAGCGAAGGCATGAGCGAAGAATATATAGCGAAACTACAGTGGTAACGGTAATGGACTGTGGTTGTCGCGCGACG